ATAGAATAAATCCACCAGGCAAGATAAGCAATTAAATAGAAGGTAAAGGGAACCAATTACATGAAATAATATAATGACAAGGATAACCCATACCTATCAATTATAACCATCAATATGCATGCTCTCAATTCACTAATCAAAAGATTGGTGAAATGGATTAAGAAACAAGATCCAACAATATGCTGTATATGAGAAACACATTTAACCCAAAAAGAAACTCATAGATTGAAAGTCAAAGAATGGAAAAATAAAAAATCAAAAATCAGATAATCACTAATATAATTTAATGGGGGACTTCAATATCCCATTGTCAGAAATTGACAGATCAATTAGACAAAACAAAAAACAAACCAAAACAAATATCAGAGCTGAACGAAACCCCTGAACAAATGGACTTAGTAGGTATCTACAGTGTCCCGCCCAACAACAGAATACAGCATGCATAAGACTTTTCACAAAATAGATCACATATTAGCCCATAAAACATGCTTAAGTAAATGCAAAGAAATTGAAATTATCTCATGCCTATTATCAGATCATAGTGCAATCAAATTGGAAATCAATGGCAAAAGAAATCACAAAAACTACATAGACACATGGAAATTAAATAATACCCTCGAGCAATCAGTGGGTCACAGATGAAATTTCCACTGTTTCTTTTCTTCTTTTGGGGTACTGGGGATAGAACTCAGACCTTGTGCTTATGCGGCAGGTGGTGGCACCACTGAGCTAAATCCCTGGCCCATCACAGATAAAATTAAAGAAATTAGTCAGTTTCTACAAGTGAAGGATAATGCCAGTATCAGAACTTATGGGACTTATAGAAAGCAGTCTTATGAGGGAAGTTTATAGTGGTGAATTCCCACATCAAACACACAAAGTGAAATAAATAACCTATTGTTATTAATAACCTATTAATAAGGTCAAATAAATAACCTATTGTTAAACCTCAAAGCTCAGAAAAAGAACTAAACCCAAAGCTATGTGAGAAAAGAAATTATGAGTCACAGCAGAATTTAGTGCAACTGAAACTAAGAAAACAATACAAAGAATCAATGAATTAGAGTTGGTTCTTTGAAAGATTAAATAAAATAGACAAATCCTTAGCTAACCTCATCAAAACAAAGAAAGAAAACACCCAAAACCATGCAATTAGAAATGAAAAAGATGAAAACACAACAGATCCTGCAGAAATCCAGAAGATCATTAGTATCTACTTTGAGAGCTTATACTCTAATAAGTGGCAAAATTAAGAAGCACACAGATTCCTAGGTGCATATGAATTACCAAAGCTGAATCAAGATTTAAAAATTTTAAACCCAATATCAGTCAATTATATTGAAGTAATAATAATAATAAAGCTACCAACAAATAAAAGCCCAGGCTCTGATGGATTCATTACTGAATTACACAAGAACTTTAGAGAGGATGTAATGCCACTATACCTCAAGCTCTATAATGAAATTGAAAGGGAAGAAATACTCCCAAAGTCCTTCCCAAAAGCAAGCATTACATTGATACCCAAACCAGAAAATGCCTAACGGAAAAAGAAAACTACAGGCCAATCTCTTTAATGAACGTAGATGCAAACATCCCCAGTAAGAAAGTGGCAGACAGATTGCAACAAATCTCAAAAAAATTATACACCACAATTGAGTAGGATTCATCCCAGGGATGCAGAGATGGTTCAACATACACAAATCAATAAATCTAATACATCGTATTAATAGAAACCAAAACCACATGATTATCTCAATAGATGGAGAAGTATTTGACAAAGTCTAACACCATTCATCATGAAAACCCTACAGAAAATTGGAATAGAAGGTTCTTTTCTCAATCTGATAAAAGCCATCTATGACAAACCAATTGCCAATATCATACTAAATGGTCAAAATCTAAAAGCTTTCATTTAAAATCAGGAAGAAGTACATGAATAACAAATTCACTTAGAAATTAGAGAAACAACTTTCATAATAGCATTAAGAAAAATGAAATACTTAGGAATCAATCTAATGAAAGTCCTTTACATTGAAAACTACAGTTCTCTGGAAAAAAAAAATCAAATTAAAAAAAAAAAGGAAAAATATCCCTTGTTCATGGATATGTACAACAAAAACAGTGAAAATGGTCATACTTCCAAAGGTGTTATACAGGTTTAATGTAATTCTGATAAAAAATAACAGTAGCATACTTCACATAGAGAAAACAATCCTAAAAGTTATGCAGAACCAGAAAAAAGACCTAGAAAAGCAAAAGCAATTCTTGGCAATAAAGGCAAGGAAAGGATCCTAATTTGAAGTTATATGACCAAGCTACAGTGATAAAAACAGCATGGTATGGGCAAAAATCAGACTTAAAGTTCAGTGGGAGAGAAGATTCAGAAACAACTCCAAGCACACTCAGCTATCTTATCTTTGACAAAGGGGCCAAACACCTTCACTGGAAGACAGATACCTCTTCAATGCATGATGCTGGGAAAACTAGATTTCTACATGCTGAAGATTAAACCTAGACCCATATCTTTCATCATGCACTAAAGTTAAAATGAATCAAAGATCGAAATATTAAAACACAATCTGTTGGAAGATAGAATAGGTGAAACTCTTGAAGACATAGGTGTAGTCAAAGACTATGAACAAAACCCCAGTTGCATAGGAAATATTACAAAAAAAAATCAACAACTGGGATCATATAAAATTAAAACACTTTTGCACAGCAAAAGACACCACCAGCAGAAGGAAAAGACAACCTACAGAACTGGATTTTTTTTTTTAACTAGCTGTTCCTCAGACAATGGACCAATAGCTAGAAATTTAAAGAACTCAAAAAAACCAGACTCCCCAAGTTTAAAGACCTAATTCAAAAATGGGCATCTGAAGTGAACAGCCACCAGATTAAGAAGTAGAAATAGCAAATAAATACATGAAAAATGCTCATAATCATTGGCCATTTGTGAAATGCAAATTAAAACAATGCTGAAGTTCCATCTCCAGAAAGAATGGCTGCTATCAAGAAATCAATAACACGCCAATGGAACTGTGGAGAAAAGGACCCTTTTCCACTGCTGGTAGGAGTGTAAGTTGGTGCAACCGATATGGAAATCAGTATGGAGACTCCTCAAAAAACTAAAACTAGAGGTTCCATTTGACCCAGATATTCCCCCTCTAGGTATCTTTCCTAAAGAGTTGTAAGTATCATACCACAGTTATGTATCCATACCCATGTTTATAGCAGCACAATTTATAATAGCTAAATCTTGAAACAGCCCATGTGCCCATCAACGGATGAATGGATAAAGAAAATGGGGTTTTTATATGCAGTACTTATTACTCTGCTATAAACAAAGATAAATTTGAGATGTTTTAGATAAATGGATGTACCTCCAGACCATAACTTTAAGTAAAAGAAATCAGACACACAAGCTTAAATATTGCACTGTTGCTCTTGTGTGAGAAACCCAAAAGGTAAATAAGGATTAAAATGGAGGATAGATATTGGGGAGTAGAAAGAATATGTTCAAATGGGAAGGGGAACAAGGGAAGCAAAGGGAGAGAGAAGGAAGGGAGAAGGGGGAAAAGGAATGGAAGAAAAAACAAAGCTTTTGCAACTGGGGAAGGGAGGAAGAGTTGAAGGGAGAGGAGGGGAATGGGAAAAAAAGTTAAGACATTATGTACAGGTACAAATTCCCTATGAAAAATGTAATCATTATGTATGGCAAACAGGTAGTAATTAAAAATACACCCCAAAATAAGTAAATAAATTTCTGTTGTTTAAGGAAATGACTTAGAGCAAATTTCTCTCTCTCGCCTCAGTAGATTATATCTATATCTGAATCTGTCATGGTACACGCATCCCCCAACCCTATTGGTTCTATCTCACTGGAAAACTCTGATGAATTACAGTAAAAGAATGAGTCCCCAAACTCATACCAATCTAGTCTGTCTTTCTTTCTGAGACAGGGTCACCTGTTCCAGGCTGGCCTTGAACTTGTGATCCCCCTGCCTCAGCCTCCCAGAGTTCTAGGATTACAAGCGCACACCACCATGCTCAGCTCATACCCACCTAATGGTGTCTTCAGCCACTG